ATTATATTATAATATTATTGACTGTCCTCCAGTCAGCCGAATGCTCAACCAGCCAGCGTTATGTTGTTATCGATCCCAGTAATTAGTCTGTTACCCTGTTTCTGAACTGGGCGAAAGCATTGCGCGGTCTCCGGTATTACACATTGCAGTGTCGATCTGTAATATGTTGACACCTAGGCATAATTAAATCTTTGTCTGGATAGGCCCACGTATTCTTTCTTTGTTTGGAAAGAAAAATGACACCAGTAAGCACAGATCTTCCTGCATGGTTATCATTTATTGTGCTCTTGGTGGTCTAAATGTTTATCCGAGAATATACATGCATATAGGCCAAGGAGCTTAGAACTAAACTCCTTGATATAGGCCCTACATGTATTCTATTCGAAACGTAATGATGGCATTGAAGAGCTTAAATTGGTGGCCCATCCTTTGCCTGAAAATAATCTTTAACTTTTACGGTTATTTTTACCCCCCCCCCCCTGTAAAAAAACAACAAACAAAAACAACAAGAACAAACAAAACATAAACAAAAACAAACAAAACAATAACAGAAACAACAACAACAAAACCCCAACTACTTATTAGAACTGCTGCATTCAACATTCTATATGTAAAAAACCCAAACTAAACAACATTACTGAGGACTGAGGAGTAAACAAATTACGGATTTTACAGCAGTCAGCAGTGCAAAAGTACCTGAGAACCAGAATAATACTGACTGCGAAGAGTCACGGGTGACCTCCTCGGATGGTCGCGACAAGGATGTAAATCGTTGTTAAGGTCAATATTGGTCGCGGACAGTACATATTATCGCGAGGCTACGGGCGACATACTTTACTGCACGGGTCATGACATGTCAAGGTTGAGCCTATTATTTAGCGAACGAAATGCAGTACGAAGTACGAAGTACGAAAAGCGAAGGCGAAATTTTATTTGGACGACATTTAGGCACAGGCTGTAAACAAACATGGCGGACGAAAAGCATGGTAAAACGCTGTTCGTGAGGAACTTGCCTTATTCAACAACAAACGAAGACATAGAAAAAATATTTTCAGACGTTGGACCAGTGAAATCATGTTTTGTTGTCAGCGACAAAGGTATGGATTTCTATTTTGTTCTCTGCAAGCATTTGCATGGCCAGTGACTTCAACTTCAATTTCATTTGTTGTGATTACAACATTATAGGCCACCTCTATCATTATTCTCACCCGGGATGAGAATAGTGCAGGCGAGTCTTTTGGCTATTCTCACCCGGTGCGCGTTCACCGTTATAGCCTAGATCTAGGCCAACACATTTTGCG